TCACACTTGCACACTATTCGACTAAAATTGGGTGGGCTATAAAACTGTGTACACATAAAAATTCTAGCAGTACTGAGAAAAAAGTTTTAAATTTGGGTGAAAATTTGTTACACTTTTTTGCGGTCTTTTAAAATGTTTTAAACTTGGTTTTATATGAGTTTTGTTAAGAAAAAATGAATTGTATTTTAATTGAAAACTCCTAAAAGTTAATAATTAAACATAAGAGGCAAACAATACGCGGGATCCCAAAATCATTCCCGCAGTCAAAAAACGGCTAATAGAAAGTAAAAGGTGGAACGTATTGAATGGTAAGTGTGTCTGGTTCTTCCTGTCCGAAACAGCCCGGACTTTTTCTCTGAGTAAAAATGGATAAAGTGTCAAAGTGCATATCAGCTGTTTTGTTTTTACATGTTGTTTGTTTTTACTTTGTGCTTTTAAGGAATAGTGAACCGACTTCCAAAAAAGGAGGAGGTTATCAGTTCGTCGGAATGTTTTTTTTTTATGTATATTACCGCATAACTTTGGACCACGCCAACCGATTTCGAAAATTTTTTTTGCATCGGAAAGGTAATCTGGTTAAGATCCGATCAGTGCATCATGAGATATATATGTATAAGTATATATTTTTTTTTTATATGAGAATTGAGGTCGGTTATTTTTTGTAAAAATTACTTGTTTATACTTAAATATTTATTAATGCAAACAAGTTTGTGAAAACCAAAATTCTATTTCCAAGTATTTGCATTTAAGTGGCGACAACAAAAACCATGTGAATAAGCTGTTTCTCAATTACTGGGCACGAAATATCACTTTTTGCGTTGACGTACTTCTGGATAGTGTACCATTTTAGAGAGCTAATTTTTCGCTTACTCTCTAATTACCCCGTCCAGTACGGAAATACCCAATAGTTGGAGCGCTTGGACGATGTTCAGATACAGAAACTTTTGTTGCGGCAGCTCGAAACTCGATTGGGAGAGAGGTTACCGAGTTGCTCGGACTCGGGCAGCGCGCTTTGTGCCCTCGTTCGTCTGAGTTATTCAAGTTGTCGGTTCACAGCGGCAACAACAATTGCATACAAAAGACTTGCAAACAGCAGGAGTGCCTGTTTTTGTGACTCCACTCACTCTAAAAGCGATTACGGTATGATCCCCGCTACTTACAGACTCATAGCCTTTTTGGTTCCGTGGTGTCCGAGTTACTTGTGTAATCCAGTGTGTGATGTATGCGATGTTTCTCTTAAAGGCTCTGCAGTGTGATTGCGGTAGTCGTATTACTTGTTGCGGTGTTTGCGTACCTAATCATCAAACATACTTTTTTTATTTACGGGTAAAATACGCAGGGCGATCATACTTTGTATGGAAAAAAACGTGTAGCACCGTCAGGAAATATTATAAAACATCAACGTGAAAGTTTGTTGAATTTTTCTAATTTTTGTATAAAGACCCAAATTGGAAATTATGGTTTTTGTAATATCATAGGTTTTATTTTTATAAAAAATAAAATTACATAAAACTAGCAAAGAAAAAATAGTAAACTTTTTGTTTAAAGGAGAAGTCAGTTTTAGGCAGGTGGTATCCTTTTCAAGAAATATGCTATATCTTAATCACAGTCATAAGTTATCTGTATGCCAAATTTTAGGCAAAAAAAGACCAAGCAGCATATACACTCACTAACTCATACACTTTTACATTTGTAATATTAGGATGACTTCATTTTACTTCCCAGATTGAAATATTTTTTTTTTAAATTTATTAATTAAGTGGATTTTGAATTTCAAAACAGCTGGCAGCTTTCATTAAAAATATTTCTGAAATAAGGCTTTCTAATTTCTAAACCTCTCTCGTTTATAACCGTATTAAAATTATTATTTTTTTGACTTGTTAATTAAATTAATTTCAACCTTTTTAACCGATGGCAACCGTCTCAAAAAATATTTTCAAAACTAATCTTTTTTATCATCTTTTGTTTGACGCCCGCATTGTTGTGATACTTTATTTAACTTATTAATTAATTGATTTTAGCTTTTTGACAGGTGGCAACCCTCTGGAAAATATTTTCGAAATAAATTATTTTGGAACCTCTATCGTTTATCGTCTGCACTGTTGTAATATTTTTTTACCTTATTTTTTAATTATTTTTAACATTTAGAAAGGCGGAAACTCTCTTCAAAAAATATTCGATATGTTCATCTACGTACACCTACTCTGCCGGAAAAAAGTAGCAATTATAGTTTTATGTTGTTTGCTGTAGAATAAACCACATTTTTACAAAAAATAGCGGTAAAATATTCGAATAAAAATTGCTGCATATATTGTGAGAAATTCGCCGTACCACTACTTTATTCTGGCAGTGTATATGTGAGCCGAATTATATAACAGCCGTTTAGTATGAAAGAGCAACAAACACACACACACACATATTCACAAACTTTCACATTTACATATAATATTGTAGGATTCAACTCTCAGACTTAGGGCCATTTTCTGAAGTGACCTTTAATTTTAAAGCTCACTTTATATATAAAGGTTGGATTAAAAATAAAGCTGTGTCTAAAGTTAAACATTTCTATTATCGGACTTTGATGTATGTATATTTCTTGGTTGTAAACCAATTTTAAACCGATAATAAAATGCTTTACTTTAGACACAATCATAAATTTTAATGCAACCTTTAAATTTAAAGTGAACTTTAAAGTTACAGGCTACTTGAGAAAACGGCCCTAAAAGTTATGTTGTACCTTCAACTGCAGCATGCTTTAATTATGTGACCGTCAACCTATGGTATGGTGTAACAAAACTTTTTCATACATATACATATATACGAATTTTAATAGATTCCTTTCCGCAAACCAATGTGTGCATGAGACGCATAATTACTATAACATCATTCAGCTAAAACTATACATAAATGTTGAATTCGCCAAAGTGAGCAACGTGCGTAAATACGTTTCACACAGTGGATGCTGCTACANGGACCGTATTTTTTCAAAGATGCTGTTGGACGCAACGTTACGGTGAATGGCGATCGCTATCGTTCGATGCTAACAAACTTTTTGTTGCCAAAAATGGAAGAACTGAACTTGGTTGACATGTGGTTTCAACAAGATGGCGCTACATGCCACACAGCTCGCGATTCTATGGCCATTTTGAGGGAAAACTTCGGAGAACAATTCATCTCAAGAAATGGACCGGTAAGTTGGCCACCAAGATCATGCGATTTGACGCCTTTAGACTATTTTTTGTGGGGCTACGTCAAGTCTAAAGTCTACAGAAATAAGCCAGCAACTATTCCAGCTTTGGAAGACAACATTTCCGAAGAAATTCGGGCTATTCCGGCCGAAATGCTCGAAAAAGTTGCCCAAAATTGGACTTTCCGAATGGACCACCTAAGACGCAGCCGCGGTCAACATTTAAATGAAATTATCTTCAAAAAGTAAATGTCATGGACCAATCTAACGTTTCAAATAAAGAACCGATGAGATTTTGCAAATTTTATGCGTTTTTTTTTTAAAAAAAGTTATCAAGCTCTTAAAAAATCACCCGTTATATTTTGTGTACCCAAGGGGTGCAGCCATGGCGTAATGCCAAAAGTATTTCGAAGTGAATAAATACACACACATCTGGTTAACTTAAAAACTTGGCGCTTGAAAAGTAACTCCTTATAAAAGGCTATATTAATACTTATGTACATACATACATTCTAACTTTACTCGTACGTATGTACATACGTATGTATGTCCATAGATATGTATACATGTAGAAATATATGTATGTATGTATATGCAAACTTACTAAAAAAATTATGTTAGTACGTACTTATCTATCCGTTTCTACTTTTACTTTATATTTATTTTTTAATGTACACAAACTTGCATACCTACCTACCTTCGTCTACGCACAAAATGGGTGTGGGCATGTACATATTTACACTTTTCTGCGCTTATTCATTTATCAACATTTGACTCATGGCTAGCCCTGTGGCATTTGTTGATATGACCCCAACCAACGTCATAGGGTTAGCAGCTGAAAACTTATTGAACGTCACTGAATACCTACATAAGCTCGTTATTAATATGTAGTCGTGTGGACATGCGTACAGTGTAAATTTGTGCTGCTCGTGTGCTCCTACCCCAGGACACGATGCGCTGCGCATAATTCAATGCTCAGGACTCGATGCTCATTGCTCAATGTATTGCTACAAACGCTCTCTGCGCCTAAATGTATGTATGAATGTACTATTGAGTAATAGTGTGTAGAGAAAAGCTTTGTCTATTTTCATATGGCTTGTTTCAGATGAGTGTTAATACGTTAAGCAGTGTTTGCATTGTTAAACTTTTCGTTCAACATTTGCGTTCAACTCAACGCAGGGTTGCACAAAGGAAGTTGACTGGCTAAATGTTAGCTGGCGACCAACTTTGTTGAACGCGATTAGTTGAAAGGCCGTTCAACCAAAAGTTGAATGCATAGTTGAACAACAAACGCTGATATAAACGCATTTGAACGGCGAATATTTTTTAATATTTTTCATGTTTTGATATTTTTAGCCAATCAACGTTTTTACGTGCAACCCTGCGTTGAGTTGAACGCAAAGTTGAACAATGCAAACACTACTTTACTGCTCTTCATTTAATTTGTTATTGACTTAAATTTTCTTTCGACTTTTCGCCTACTGACAACATCATTGAACCAAAACTCCAAATAACTCATTATCAATGAGTCAAATGATTCATTATTACCTAACATAACTTTGCGGCAAATTTTTGTGCAAATTTCGCTTTAGTATTGCCAGTTAGACTTAATTGCTGTAATTACAGTTTATGTGCATATATAAGTATATTGTTGTTGTTTGTCATTCTCACCAATTTTTGGGAAAAAGTGAAATTGGCCAAAACGCATGAGCAGCTTTTGACAGTAGTGAGTCAAATGTCGCTTGAGTGCTTTCAACCAAATACGAAAAGCCTTGTTGTTTGTTTACACCACTGTGAGCCACTCAGATGTGTCGAACGTGGAGTTACATGCATACAATCATACGGCTAGCTTGCACATGAAGCAATGAAGTTCAGTTAGTGTTGTACATTTCGGGGTGTTGGTTGTTATTGTGTATTCGCTTGCAACTTTGCGACATTTTTTTTGTACGCATTTACCCATGGTAGTGACAGATTGGCAACACAAATTATCAGCGCGTGTCATGAGAATTATACAACGATTAGCCTTTTTGAAGTAGTACTAATTAAATCAGTAATAAAATAAACGACAGTCATAGCCAATTTAGTTGTGCGGTTCTGATTGAAGCTTAAAAGCGTAGATTTTTCAAAATTTTCCGCAAAACAACGTAGTAGAGTTTAGTGATTTTGTTGACGGATAACAAACAACAAAGTAGTCAAAGGAAAAGTTATTCTATATAAAATAAAATCGACTATAACTGCCACAAAATCAAATTTTGGGTGAGTAAAGATTTTTTTTACTTATACGCACTTATGTACACATATGTAGGTAAATACATACTTCGGTATACATACATATATATTGTACATATGTACCTATTTGCCTCGGCAATCAAGATTACCCTCAAAATTGCCAAAATTTTTTGTTTACCAAGTTTAATGATCAAACAAATATTTTAAAATGTGGTACATACATACATAGCTGGGAACTAAGAGAAATTGATTGGAAATAAAAAATGCATAATTTTTTAATTAGTGAATATGTTTATTCTTCCGCTAATAACTAGCGAAAATAAATTTGTTTGACTTTGCCAGCATCGGATATTTACAAAATGTACAAACATAAGAATGTAAATAAATAAAAGTTTATAAATGTGTGTGTTTGTGAACGTATGTATGTATCAGCCAACCAACAAACAAAATGAAAAAATAAACAAAATTCTACAATGCCGCCGATGGTTTTCGAAGAAAGCGCCCAAATAAATGGCAGTCTCAGTCGAATAGACATCACAAAAATCGATAACAAAAATTCGTATACATAAAATGAGCGGAATAGTAGCGGGTGGTAAGAATTTGATTGTACTTTTTCTTACAACGAAGTTTCCTTAAGTTTGAACTGCGCTTAGACGTTTATCGCACACCATCTTCAAAAGGGGCACAACTAAAAAAAATTGTTTGATGGATTTTTGTGCATAAACCAATTCCTAGGAATTAATGAAAATATATATTCCTGCATGATTATATTTTCTAACTAGAAAAGGACTATTATACCTGTTTTTGTATTGATTGTATTGAATCTGTGCGACTCACAAGCAGATATATTTTCGGATATGATTTTTGAGTTGAGCCCCTTTTGAAGATGGTTTGCGATAAGTATACGTGTGCATACGTATGGATATGTAAGTACTATGATACACTCGCAAGGCGGAATTTAATCACTGCCACATTACTATGTATCTTACATACATAGTCATAATTACCTTTATACATACACTTTATTTTACTTCTATAGGTAAATACATTTTGTTTATCGTCGTTTAAAGTACAAAACCGCGTATCGTCATTCTGCAAAACCGCGTAACTGACATTGGCTGCCACAAATTGGATTTGCTCACACAAGCTCTTGGCTCAATCCTTATCCATTCGTCCTGAAATACACTAGCCAGAAATGCGATTGCTTTATAAAAAAGAAAACCATTTTGAAATATGAGTGTTTTTACACTCTAGAAGATAATTTCTACAACTTTACATACGCGGTTTTGCATTTTGCTGATACGCGGTATTGCATTTTGTTGATACGCGGTTTTGCACTTTAAACGACGTTATGTAATGTTTCAGCTAGCCTTCGTTTAGTGAAAAATGATAATGAAAATGGATAGAAGTGAAAAAATAATTTTCTATTTAAATTGCTGGTGAAACCGGCAGTTAAGGGCTTGTTTAAGAAAAATAATTATGTAGGAAACAAGAGTATTTTCAAAAAAAACCGCAATAATTTTTTATATTTACCCTCATATCTTATAAGACAGAAAGAAGTAACCAGGAATACTTGATAAGGATGTTTCATTGTTATAGAAGACCATGTAAGACCAAAAGAATTAAGAACAAATATGTAAATGTCTCTTAGCAATTTATTAGTCCACCTTTACATGTACCATACAATTCCTGGAGTCATTGAAATCCAAGTTTCCAATATAAGGGCTTTAATATCGGAACAGAGTTAAATTGGCAAAATTTTCGTAAGGGAATTGCACACATGGCTGCCAACTATCCTTCGCTATGAGGTGCCATATTGAGAATAAAAGAGTGCCAAAATGTGCCAAATAGAAAAATAAAAGTGCCAAAATAGGTGCCATCCTTTTTAATCCTTCCCATTTAGCAATAAAATAAAAACCACATTTCTAAAACAAAAGTGCAATGCAAAAATAAGATAAACCCGTTGAATAACCTTTAAAAATTAGAAAATTTTAGTTGAGAAAAAGAAGTATTCGCGAAGGATTTCACAAAAATTTATTGAAATATTACTATTTTTGAAAAGTGCCATTTTGGCACTAAGTGCTAAATTGAGAAATTAAGTGCCATTAGATGTAAAATAGGGCCAAAAAAATGGCACGGTTTGAGCCAAGTTGGCAGCCCTGATTGCACAACCCTGAGTTCCTCGATCAGCTGAGCAAGCAAACCAGGCGAGGAAAGTAATGTTCTCCCAAACAGCCAAGCTTTTGGTGACCAAATCATACCAATTTTCGCCTTATACTACACGAATATCCCGTCAAGAGAGCGGAAAAAACCAAGACCGTGGAGAAGGGAGGAAATAAGTTTCTACACGGAATTATCCGACCGAATTCCGGACTGCTGCAGCGTTTATCAGGCAGAAGTTCTAGCTATAAAAGAGGTGGGTGTTAATACACATGTTGTAGAGAAGACTATAACACAGGGCGACAAAATAAGACCGATCTCCTTACCCAGAAACCAGACTATACTTTCCCAAAGGTTTTTGATGCGCTGAATTCAAATCTGGCCACAGAATTGATCTATCATATCAGGATTTTGAGATATTCTAACCTATAAGTGCAAAAGTCACGGGTTTTGGGCACATTTGAGCTCCTGTAACTCGATGAACAAAATTTTTTTCAGAAAGATCATCTCGTTATTTAAAAGTACTACTCCTCCCCTCCAAAATTTATTTTAAAGCTTTGAAAAATCTTCATTTGTCACCTAGAAGTCGTCTATTGAATTTACTGAGTTTAGTTCTCTGCGGCTATGCACGTCATATAGATGCATCGGATTAAGGGTGCTAAATTCAACAGACGACTTCTCGGTGACAAATAAAGATTTTTTTAAAGCTTTAAAATGAATTTTGGAGGGCAGGAGTAGTACTTTTAGATAACGAGCTGATCTTTCTGACAAAAATTTTTTTCATCGTATTACAGGATCTCAAATGTGCCCAAAAACCGTGATTTTTGTACTTTTAGGTTAGAATATCTCGGAAACCTGACGTGATTCTGGAGTCAGATTAGAATTCAGCGCACCGAAAACCTTCGGGAAAGTATAGTCTGGTTTCTGAGTAAAAATTTTGTCGGGTTGTGTAATTAATATCTTCTCGGATAGCCAGGTGGCCAATCAATGAACGCAGTAAGCTAAGATGAAAAGGTGCACAGGTATGCCTGGCAGCTTTAAATATAGCAGCGTTTTCAAGATCAGCCGCATCCATAGGTGTATAGATATATTGCAGAAAATTGCAGAGCCGATGAGCTAGTCAGGAAAGGTATAAATATTACACTGTATGAAAGCATGTGTAAGATTGGGTTACCCATGGCAACCTGCAATTTAAGGATTAGAAAAAACATTATTCAAGAGGTCAATAGGTCATGGTTAGACGAGGGCACTTGTACAACAACAAGGCTACTATGGCCGCAAATTGATAGGAAAAAACCGAAGATTTGCTGTCATGGCTTGTGTAATCGGTCATTGGCTATTTGTTAGGCACGCTTCGAGATTATAAATATTTCCTATCCATATTGCAGAAGTTGCTGAGACGGCGACGAAGAAGAAACAGTTGAGCACTTCTTCTGAAGCTGCCCAGCTTTAGCTAAGATAAGAGCGGTATTTCTAGGTAGGCACTTTTTCAGCTCTCTCACGGAATTATCCGGTGAAGGAATAAAACCAATCCTGCGCTTCATAAAATCTTCCAAATGGTTCCATGCAGAATAGTCACTGACGTTCCCGTGTTTCACAGTGGTATCACAATGGACCTGCAAGGTCTAAGTGAGTTGGTCGTCGAGACGTTACTGCTCAATTAGGGGTTTCTAAATAACTTCCACGGAAATAACTTCCGCCGAACCGTGACTTAAGTTCCATGGAAGTTATGTCGTGAAATTACCACCATCGTACGATTTTGGTAGATGGAAGTAAAGGATGACATTGCTTCCACAGATTTGATTCATGGAAGTTATGTCAGACATAAGTTCCGTGATAATTTTACATATATTAAATGAGCCGCTTACTGAACAAATTGAATTTTAAAAATCTTAAATTTTAGTGTAAAAGCTGGATGGACGGCGCGAAATTAGGTATTTTCGCTTAAAACTTTTTGAAAAATGGTCAATAAAATATTTCCTTTTTGGTTGTTGTTGTTTCCGACAGGGTGGGCGGATGATGTATTTTAAAACGAATTTCCGTCGTCCCTTGTCAAATTTGGTTTGCAGACAAACCGGTTTCGGCGTTGTGTCATCTTCAGTGTCATTTTTCGTTCTGGATTAATATTAGAGTATTAAGGATAGACATGGAAGGAAATATACTAACTACAAAAACAAAGAAGAATCACTGACTTCAACTTACCAGCAACACAAGCCAGAACAATTCATCTACCTATTCAGCACCGCAAATACTGCAAAACTAAGAAGACGTACCTAACAAAAGAAAGAGGTAGTTAATAAGGAGCATAAATACGAGCAACCAACAAAAATTATCCAGAACGAAAAATGACACTGAAGATGGCACAACGCCGAAACCGGGTTGTCTCCAAACCAAATTTGACAAGGGATGACGGAAATCCGTTCCAAAATATGTCAATAAAGTAATGGATGGATATAAGATTTTAGTAGCACAAGCAATGAATTTAATGCAGCCAATTTTCGAAGCTGTTGTTTTCTGACTTATCACGTCCTTTTTTAATTCTGTGATTTATTTAAAAAAATTGTTGAACGAACTTTCGATTTTCAGTTTAATAACATTATAGTTTAAAAAACTAAAACCTCGCCATTATAATTTCCATACGTATTGTCATCAGGTATGTAACTTGAGAATATAAATCGCTGCATCTTTTAGATGCATCAATATTACATAGTCACATCCCGAGCTAACAAAAGGGAGGTAATAAAAATGAGCACCACTTCGGCTGTAGATAGTCAACGTTTTCATATCAACCGGCATTCCTTCTGTTTGCATTCGATTCCAACCTCAGAAGAAGATGCTATTTCTACACAATTTTGCGAGTAATGAAT